GTTCCGTACCGATCGGTGAGATCAGTCTACAATTGTATATATACCATATTGACAGCACAGGCACTAGCTGTCGCCTGACTTTTCTGGGCAACGCTGGGAAACATTTCCAGGAACCGCATCGCAAACGGGTGCTGTCTCTTTTTATCTATTGCATCGAGAATTTGAAAGAAAGAGTCAATAAAACTCCTGTTGCAGCGAAAATATCTACTTCGGCCTAACGATACTGACGTAGAGTTGGAGGTTGCCGCGTTCGTGGGATACAGTGCGGTCTGGGGATTGATTTCGGTAGATGAGTACGGTTATACTTCAGCCTAACGCACGAACAATAACAAACTGATGGTTATGAGGCAGAGTTAGAGGGCAATTAAACAGCCTGATCTCCATGTTTTACAAAGTTTTAATTCCTAGTGCTAAGTCGCTTAATGCCTCCTACCACTGCCACATATCCGACTGATTTGTGCTGAGAGAGGCCGCAGTGAGTGAGTCTCAGAGTCGTAAAGGGTGAGCAGACGGGGAATGACAGTGTGCTTAAGAAATAAAAAGAAGCACAAAAATGCTAATATCTACGGCTACCTACCAGTTAGGTAAAAAGTGAGGTTCCGGCGGTCCGTGAGGCCACAGTCACCCCTGCGGCCACATTCCATATGCCAGAACATACAGGCGCCGTCAATAACACGACCGAAACTTATGGGTGAGGGCAGATTGGCCAGCAGCCGGATGATGACAAACTGCAGGCCCAGAGCCAAGGAACGTTCTGACTTGCTCACTGAACGCATTGTCACCATCAGCAGAGGGTTTTGAATGACTCCAGTGAGGAAGAGGGCCGTCGTGAGAACGCAAATGAAGGGAATCAGAGTGTGACAGGTCATAGGGCAGGGACCCGTCACCACCTCATCGTCCAGGAGAACAGTAGTATTCGGTGCTGCAGGCGCTGCGCGAAGGTGAGCCGGAAATTTGGGCACGAAACTTGCCAGACAGGTGCAGTTTCGGTAGAGCTTCTGCCAGAGGAAGAAGGGGAGATTAGGAGCAGGCAAAAAACTGTTAGTGAGCAAATATATTTGCAATAAGAGGGATTTTAGCCGTAAAATAGGGTATTGAAGAGCATTAATTTGGCAGTGTACGCCCTCCCTTTCTTCCTTCCTCCCTTTACAAATTAAACCCAAAATTGGCTACGACAACGCGATCGCCTCTATTCGCAAGGCTGTTGTCCTGAAAGCGCTCCCATACGGGTTGGAGACATAGATCGCCTCTGAAAGCCAAGTAAAAAACATGAATTTTCACCCCGGTCGTCTTGGAAGGATACTGAGATTGCGGTGATGGGCAAGAACGACCGACGCTCAGAACATATCCATGGCAGGATGAAGCAGATATAACTGGGTTGGAGTTGTCATTCTATGGGGGTGGATAAGTAGAATCTTCCTAAGCGCGGCCGTTCTGCGGCAGCGGCGTTGCTAACAGTAGTCATGTCAAGTCAAATTTATAAAAGGAAATATAGGCAAACGCCTTTGAACTCCCTC